TTACAATTTTTTACTGAATGTTTTTTTCTATTACCTTATTATTTAGTGGTATATAGATTACAATTACTACTAACTTTAGTTGTTTGAGATATAGTGTAATCTCTATTATATATTTACTTATTTTTATAACTGCATTTATGCTTTTCTCATTGTTCATCAACCATAATTCTAATGTCTGATCCTTTTTTTTTATTCTTTGTTGCATTTGTTCAAAATTCATATATCTTTTGTCTGCTACATATGTTAGAAATTTCTCTTCACTTTTTGTAAAATTTGTTTCTATGATTCTTATTATTGCAATTTCCTTTTCTTCTGCCTAGCCAAGCAAATTTTTTAACTTTCAATCTTTAGTCTTAAGTTCATTAATATTGTAACATGTTATCTTTATTTTATTTTATTTTTTTCTTTTAATAATCTTTATTTTGTTTCTGTATATTTAACTTTTTCTTTTTCTTTACTATACTTTTCTTCTTCTTGACAAAAAGTTTTTACTTCTTTTCTTCTTTCAAACATCTTTCTTTTATTTTACAAGAACTTCTCAACCTCCTTGCTTATATTTATTGATTTAACTGTAACACTTTTAGGAGTAATTGGATTGGTCTATCTTATTCTTTTCTCTATTTTTTTCTAGTTTTTCTAATCTTTCTAATATTATACCTAGAATATTTTTAATATATAAGGTTCTCTTTTGTGGCCAAGTTTGAACTACCTTTTTTTTTTTTATTTTTTTTTGCCTTTGGTTTTTAATAGCTAAGTTTTTTCTATCTTGCATTTTTGTTTTATAGTTTTTACTTTTTTCTTTACTTTTTTTTTTTTAACTTTGCTTTTCTTTTGTATCTGTTTAATAAATCTTTTGTATTCTTAGGTTCTTCTTCTTTTGAACTTATATTTTCTTGCATTTCTTCTTTTTCTTTCTGTGTTTTTTGCATTCTACTGCTACTTTTATGCACTCTCTTATTATCTCTTTGAGTTTTAAATTCTTAGAACATTAGAACTCTATTGTATTATACTTTTTTCTTAATAGCCATGTTCATGTCTGTTTGGTTTTTAAACAACATTACTGCATAGTTTCTTAACTTTCTCTATCTATTTAATAGTATATATATTGCTATTGCTTTCTTAACTTTAAGTTTTTTTAGAAGAATTAGTTCAGATATTCTTTTTAGAATTCCTTTTAGTCTTACTATAAAATAGTTTCATTTTTCTTTTCTTTTTTCTTTTTCTTCACCTGTTGTTATTCTTGCTAATTTTCTATTTCTTAAAGTAATTAACTATAAGAATATTTGTCTTATGTTTTTTTTTACTTTAATTACTGCTATTATTCTATATATACTTTTTTTCATTTTGCATGAGACTATATCTTCTACTTTTTTCACTAAGTATCTAATCTTTTACTCTAGGATTTTTTTTAGTAGGTCCTAATTATAAGTGTTACTAGGTTTTCTTTATCTTTTATATATATAGTTATTTTTTTTTGACTTTTTATTTTGTCTTTTATTCTTCTCTTTTCTTCAGTATCTTTTTTCTCTCACATTATACTTTCTTTCTTTTTTATTTTTTCTCTTTTCTTATTTTTATTTTTATTTTTGTGTTCTTCTGTGCCAAAAATTATTCTAAATCAGTTATTATATTTTCTTTAAATCTTATTAATTGCTTCTTCTTTGCTATATTTGCAGTCAAAAGTAACTACAATCTAAGTATTATCTTTCTTAAACACTTCTTTGACTTCTAAAATATGTTTATTGAAGACTAGAAGTCTTTATACAAACTTTGTTTTTTCTTCTTTTGAGTTATTTAATACATTATATGCTAGTACCTTTGCTGTATATGTTATTTTTTTGCTACAATCTCTGTTTGAAAATAACTATATACTTTGTTCTAATAGTGTCTTTATAAAACTGTTTCTTTCTATTTTATGGTTTTATTTTTTTCTTCTTTCTTCTTCTTTATAATTTCTAATTGCTGTTATTATGTTTTGACAGTCTTGTTATGTTATGTTTGTTTTTAATGTTTTAATTTTCTCTTTTACATATTTGTTTATTATTACTGTTTTTGTTGTTACACTTGTATCTTTTGTGTTTTTTTTATTTTTTATTTTTTTTTGTTTTTTTTCTTCTTTACTTGTGTTTTGTCAAAGTTCTTTTTTATTTATTTCTATATTTACTGCTTCTGTTGTTTGTCTTATTTTTTTATATATATTTTGATGTAATTAGTTTTTTTTTAATATTATTTGGTTTTTCTTACTACTCATGCTTTCTATTGTTATTAATGTTGGCTCATATGATTTATTTCTTTTGCCTATTTTTCTATACTAGTTGGGTTTTTCATATCTACTTTAATTATTACTTAATATATTTTTCTTAACATTATTGTCTCTATTAGGTTTGTTTTTTATAATACTACTACAAGTATATTTCTAACATTAAAATAATTAGCTCTATTTGCTAGTTTTTGCTCTAACTCTTTACTATCTATAAGTTTTATTGTTGCTTCTGCTTTTTTACTTACTAACCTTAGTGTTATAGACTCTTTTGATTTTACTTGCATTATCATTTGGCTGTGTTTATGTAACTATTCTTGATTTATCTCTATCACATATACTTTATAATACTTATATATCTATTCTATCTATTTTGTATATATTTTTATTTGTTTTCTTATATGCTTATATGCTCTAAAATGATTTGCAATTTCAAATCTAAGCTGTTTCTCTAAAATTTTGTTTTTTGGTTTTTATTTCATTAAGTTTGTCTTTTTTTTACTTGCTATATTCTTTGTTTTCTTTGTTGCTATATCTGCTAGATCTGTTTTAGTTTTTTTTTTGTCTAAGTCTTTAACTGTAGTTTTAACATTAGTTTTTATATAAAATTCAATTTTTTTTTTGTAAATTTTGTGTTTTGGTAATTAGCAAAAAAAGTTATATATAAATAATTAATAAAAAATTATATTTATAACACTATATTACATAACATTTTATGTAATATCTCAAAAATGTACTAAGTAAATAAGATCAGATACTTTAAGTAAAAATATTTAGAACTCCTAAAAACCCTATAAAAACTAAAATTGGGACCTATCAAGATTTTATATCTAATATATATTGTATAATAAAAAAACACCTATTTATTTTAAGCTAAACTCTAATTCTAATTAAAACTATATAGATGTTATATAATATAAGTGTTATGAATATAATATTTTATAATTAATATAATAAAAAAATATATATATATTTTTTAGAGTATTGCTAAACATCACCATAGGTAACCATCACCGCAGGTGATCATCATCGCAGATAACCATTACTGCAGGTAATCATTATCACAGATATTATAATTAGAAAGTTCTTAAAATAGATCCAATATTTATGTTATGAATTAACCTAAATACTAAAGTTAAGACCTGGGTCCGGGTTCCAACTATAAGATCTGGATCTTAATAATTAGATACAAGCTTACAGTGATGTGGTTTCTGAATAATTAGTAATTTTTAGAATGAAACCAAAAAGAATCAGAAACTAAGCAAAATTTTAAAGTATTCCAAAATATATGAAAATCTGTATTATTATTATTAGGAACTGGATCTTATGATTAGATCCAAATCTTATTATTAGGATCCAAATTTTGTGATTAGATCTGGATCTTGTAATTAGGATTCAGATTCAAGTATTAACTCTACTAATGCTAAATATATCATATATACATATATACGTACTGTTCCAAGAACATTGTTATATCCGAAATAGAAATTTATTAAAATTTTCTTATTTTCTTTCTTGTAATATACTAATTTAGGAATCGGTAAGCCACATTAACTATAGAAAAAATTAGGTCAACTGTCAGTTTCAAACTATATATATACCAAAGGAAGTTAACAATTATTAAGGAACATTAGTAACTATCTAAGGGAGAGGAAAACTAACAGTAGTAGTTAGTAATTGATGAGAAAGTTCTAAAATATTTAAGTAATAAAAAGCTACATAAACGGTATTTTCCTGGTATCTTGGGAGAAAAAGTCGAATACTTTAATATCTCTTATAGTAATATATCTAAATAATGAGAATAGTATAGTATTAGTATTGATTAGTATAGTTTTATTATTTTATTTGTAATCCTATTTATCTTAATAAAAATTTAAATCTTCTGTACTAAAACATAATAACTTTTTAGACAAAAGCTTATGCTAAATTATAAATCAGTCCTAAAAAAAATTAAAATAAAGAATTGGTAACGTTTATACTTTAAATCATAAGATAGTATTATTAAACTATGCATACTTTCCTTTTGTTAACTATCAAGATTAGATTCATAACACAGATAGCTAATTTTATCCAACCTGGTAGTTATAGCATTCATTATTCAAATTGGTTTAATTTGCTCCTATATAGATCTCTAAAGTATAGAAGAAAACAAAAATTATTATATTAGCATTAACATGAACTAAATGTATAGAAACTTAATATTTCTTTCGCAATTTGACTTTTAGCTAAAAATAAAACAATTTTAAAAGCAAATTTCATATTAATAATGTTAAAGTTTTAATTGTAGTCTCGATAATGAAAAGAAACACACATCCAACTATATACATAGTACAAATTTAAAGATGCAAATTTAGCATAGCAATAGACTCATAAAATTTAGTATGAATGGTATGATACAATAATAAGCATATCATTCATTATAATTAGTAGCATGACATTATATACTCCAATTGTACATCAATAAATTCATAAGCATATTCAATTAATTAGTACATTTTTTAAGTTTGCAAGTACGGGAGTTATGTCTAATATCCTTACAATAGCTACACATGTATTTGTTACTTTTTTCTTGTACCAAGATATAACTACATTAAGAAGATTCGTTCAGGTTGTTATGTTGCCTTGAACTCTGGTATAATCTTTCAAGTTGCCTGTTATTTTTATAATCCAATTTATTTATCATATATAAAGAGTAAACAATAATGTACCTATTAAAAATAAATGTAAGAAGTAAATTTATTTACCTATTATCACCCAAATCTTCTGTATATTTATTAATTCTTTGTGTTGGCTCATCAGTCTTTTGATTATGATGTTTGAAAACATAATTTTCTAATATGCTTTTTAAACATTTTTTAGAAGCATCCTTCATACGTGTTAAATAAGGATTAGTTATATTTGATAAGTTCTTATTATTAGACTCATTTAAATTGTAACTCATCTTTCTTTCAGTCTCATTAATCCAATCTCTCAAAAGTTTATTTAATTCATTTTCATAACCAGTTTCAAGAGCCAAATCAACTGCTTTTTTTGCATATCCAAGGCCTTGATTGTATTTTATTTGACAAGATAGATTCTGTTTGACAGTCTCTGAAAATATTTGAGTATGATGAATCTTATTAAGAAAATTGAAACCTGAGTTGATTTGATGCTCATATATAGATATGTTATTATTAGGCAAATGCCCTTTACCAATAATAGAATTGCAACTTCTTCTTAAAGATCATATGTTGTTTTATTGTATCATCAAGATGGAATGAGACCGATATGAAACATAGCTTTATCTGAACTGTACATCACCAAAAAAAAATGATAGCAAACTAGTCTCTTCATCACGAGATTCATACAAGTACACAGGTGATTGGCATTTCTGCAAATTATTACAAAGTGTTCTTTCTGCTGTTCAATAGTTGCTACGTGCCAAATCTTCTGAATAGTAAACTGGTCTATATATTTAATTAATGAGTCTAAATTTGATATAACAGACTCATATTCATCTTTGGCAAAACTTATATCATTTGTTAGATTTATTATATCCTCATAATCCAAATTGTATAATTTATAAAAATCTGCATCATCCAAGTCATTTACCTACAAATAAAAAACAAATTTTAAAAGCTTTTTGTAAAAATATGATATAGTCAGACCTCCTAAATGCATTCTATAGAAAAAAAACTTTACTTAAAGAACAATAAAAACAATAAGAAAAAATATATTTATAGATATTTGAAACAGAATTTGAATGTATATGTGAGAAGGTTGTATAAATGAATTTAAAGAGGTCTCACTGTAACAATAAAAAATAAAGATAAATAAAATAAAAAAATAATGATTCTAACCCTATAACTGACCAAGTTTTTCCAATCTTCAATTTTTTGAACATGGTAAAGTAAGTTTTCTATCATTTAATGATGCTGCATTTTTAGTACTCATGGAGTAAATCAACTTTTGAGAGTTTCATTAATTCAGTTAAAATATCTATTCACAACATTAGGCAACCTAACAGTTGGATTCTAATTAAGTTGTTCTTCCCATTCAAACTGTTCTTTCTTATCAAGTTGTAATTGGATTTTAATGTCTAAATTATACAACATTGTTGAGGTCTTAATTAATTATTTTATTAGAGAATTGTAGCTTTCAACATGTTGTGTTGATTGTATCCTACCATTAAAAAAGTGATGGGTGTAACATAGTGCCCAACCAGTTACATCAACACCAAGGGCACATTCAAAATATTTTTGCACTGCTGGATATTTCATAAGTAGGTCATGCCATTGTCTTTTAAATTCACACTCAGAAAAACTGTTTTGACATTTGCTTCATGCTGCTATAAAATCAGGATATTCTTTACGAAGCTTTCCTTTTAAATTCTTCTCAAGGTTCTTATGAATATGCCATATGCAATAATTATGTTTAGTTGAAGGAATAGTTTCATAAATAGCCACAGTCATAGCAGGGTTTGCATCTGTGAACAATATTTTTGGCACAAGACCATTAGTAGCACGTAATAGGCACTCCAGAATCCACTGATAGGTTTCATTTATCTCATCAGATATGATAACTGTCATGGCCAATTGAGAGCATATATGATTATCTATGACAATAGTAAGAGATAAATACATATTGTACCTATTATGGTATTGTTAATCAACAATTAAATTGCAACAAAGAAAAAAAAAAATATTGATAACTTAAAATTTTACTATAGCAACTTAATTTTGTTTATTCATTAAGTAAAAATAGTTAAATCAATAATGTTATTAGAGTGGGTTAAAAAAAAAATTAAACTTTAATTTAGATATAATTAAGTGAATTTTTTAAACCATTAAGGTGTAAACATATACAAACAGTCATGAACATGGACAAAGACAGGTTAAAAAAGATCATGAACATCAAAATGTACAATACTGATCTATTAGTTTGAGCTGTATTATCATTGATTGCAACATCATAAAACCTTCTTCATAAATCAATTTGTGATAATCACATCCAAAATAAGCTGGTAAGATGATTGTCTTCTCCCTCTAACCTCACATCAATGAACCATTCATGTTCTTCATATTGTAGTTGCATTAATTTCTTATATGTTACAGCTGCATCAGTCTTTATTAGATCTTTGTTATATTAAAAATGACAAATTGCATTGTACACATTCTTTGGATGAATTACAGCATCGAGAAAGCATTCTTGAAGTTCACAGATAATTAGACATGTGCCACAACTAATATTTGTAAGAAATTTAACCTTCTCAAGTATTTCAGAACTAAGACATTAAAACTTTGATCCTATACTTTGTATGTTTTTGGCTAGTGGGTAGTTGTGATCTTTATATATTGATGTAATATGTATAATATCCTCAAAAAGGTAAAGATTAACCTTCTATAGGCAGTTTATTTTCATGCTCTCATGTTCATGATTATCTTCCATATTAGCTTTTTTTGGTGATAGTATTTGTGAAACTTTTTGTATTCAAAAGTATGACGAACAACTTTATTTCTTTTATTTTTTTAAAGTCGATGTTTTACAACTTCAAATCCATTTTCTATACCATGCTTTTCGATGTGCTCTATAGCTAGATCCCAATCAACAAAAGTATTGTCTAATAAGAAAACCAATATTTAGACAAAGTAACATAAAATAATTAATTATGTAAAAAAAAAAAAAAAAAAAACCTTTTTCAAGGCTAAATATTTCATTATTATCTACACTTTTACTATTTGTATCTGTATTCACATTTGCATTCACTCTCAAATCTATATACATGTCCGTATTAGCATCCATGTTCATATCAGCATCTACATCTATATTAGCATCTACTGCCATATAAGTGTCTACTTCTGTATAAGCATCTGAGTTCATGTTCATATAAGCATCCGCATCTGTATTAATATCAGAATCTATATATGCATTAATTTTCATTTTAAATTCTTTTTGTAGATTATTAACATCTTTCTCCTTCTCTTCTTCAGAGGCATAAACCTCTAAGAAGGAAATTTTACAAGCACTTCACTTCATTTTTAAGATTAAATGACTTTTTTTCAGTAAATAGTATTATTGGATTGATTACAGTAACTGCTATATAAACTTACTTCATATGTATTTATATGGATTTGCACCTGTAAGTTAACTATATATGGATTGATCAACACTGTACATTATAAAATTTTAATATTTGTAAAGGCTAAAAAGGAAAATTAAGCAGTTAAGAACAGAATTCATTATTATAATCTTGGATTTTACTTTTTTTGTATAATTTTTTCATACTTTGTTGGTAGAATACCAAATTTATTCGAAACATAACTTAAAAAAATGAATAAAATTCAATGCAATTTGACTTTTATTCTTTTTTTCTCTGTACTTTATTTGATTATTAATCCACTGTAACATACTAAATTTGACTTATACTTAAGCTTTTACTGATTATATAAATCAGTAATAATGACATTTTAGAGGTTGTCTAATACTGAGTGGTTGTGATTATTAATTGATTAATCAATTAGAAGTATGTAATGTAATAAAATCACATCCGGCTTTAGATTATTCTTAATTGCAATATTAAGTTCTTATAGTAACTTAATTCAAATTTTACCTGAACAGCCTTTTGAACAGCTTTATGTGGTTAGTCACTTGATCATCTCTTCACAAACATGATATTATTTGGAATCTGAATTGCGAGTTAATAACACTTGTTATGTAGATCATACTAAGATGAAACTGCTTTACATATATAATAAAATTTTAGATTTTATCTAAGCTCATTTGTATAGCTAATTGGAATACCAAAAGCATATTGGGTCATATAATTTGATAGTCACATTCTAAAAATTATTGTATAATGCTTATTAATATGTAAAAATATAATAGTAATAGTAAAAGTATAATTTTTTGAGGTCATAGTTGCACATGTTTAATATATGATCTATATGCTACTATATTAAAAAAATAACTAACTGCACATGGCATGACTTTAGTTCTTAATTTTTGAATCCTAGATCTTCCACAGCATTGCTAACAAAATTTTTGCGATCACGTGATAGTTAATAAAATTGTTAATTTTGTTTATATTAGGGTTAGCATTTAAACTAAGGCCATATATTGAAGAGCATATAGTAAAATTACTTGAGAAATTTTGTTGTTAATGCATAAAGAGTTGTTTCTTAAGCAAATTCTTAAGATAAAGGTACTTTTTTCTAAATGTACATTATTTTAATTGCATGACATTACACTAAGTCAAGATTCTTTATTGGCTAAGTTTTCGTATATTGTCATGTGATCATGAAAATTTTATTATAGTTACTAGTAATTTGTTGATAATCCTAGGGTAGTTCAATTTCTGAATGTAAATTACATGATCTGCCTTGGAATATTGTAATATTCATGTAACATCTATCTATGGTAAAGTCATATGCAGTGATAGTTACCTGTAGTGATAGTCATCTGTGATGATGTTTAGCAATACTTTATTTTTTATATTTTGCAAAAATATCTATATTTTTTTGTTCTTTTTTTTTTTTATTCTTTGACAGCCTTGTTGGAGCTTTAATACAAAATTTTACTAATTGAAACATTATCTATTTCTAGTAATTTACCTTTGTAATTGCAAGCCTAGCATTATCCAAGTATAAAGACTGCACTTAAATGTAACTTGTCACACCAACCTATTCCTAGATTGGGAAACTTTGTTAGCTCTGTCAAGAACCAAACCAGAATGGACTATTTTCATTTTGTATTATTTCATCTACACCTTTCATAAACAACTGCCTATGTTCTATTACTCTTTCTTTTTATTTTTCCTCTCTGACCTTATTCACTAATGTTTTTTTACTTTTCATTTTCTTTATACTGCATTTACTATTTTCAACCATATTGTCTTTTCTTTGCTTTAATTTCATTATTATTCTATTTTCTTCCTCTTACTCAACTACTGTTCTACATCTTTGCCACCAAATTTCTTTTCTGAATATTTCTTCTACAATTTTAATATATAATCTGATACTCTGCTTCACAGCTTTACGTGAAACCTGTTTAGCATACAACTCCTTAAACATACTCTTAACTGTTAACCCATATATGCATGTCTCTTTATATTTAATTCTATCTATCTCTGTTTTACTAACTAATATTCTTTTCAAGTTATATCTTGTAAGCTTGCACTTGTTTAATTTGTCAAACTTTTTCTATACTAACCAACATGCTAACTCTTTGATATTATTCTAATAACTCTTATATTCTTCACAAATGAACAAATGCCTTGATGATTCTATCTCTGTTTTGCATTCTTTACAAATATCTGAACTATACAAATCTGATGCTCTCTTCTTTAATACCTGAAGCACTAGCAAACTATCAGTAATGTACTTAACTCTAAATGAGATTCTCTTGCTTTTCTTTAATGATTTACACTTATTTCCTGTTAACTTTCTATTTTCTTTTTATAACTGTCTCCAATCACATTATGCTTCTGCATCTGGTTTTAGCTTTTTTATTGCACTTGAGCAATGCCACTCAGCACTATTCATCATGTTCATTAATATCTTGACAAACTTTCTTGTTGGTATCTCTACTACTGTTTTTTTCTAAAATAATGTATATGGAAATCTCAAATTTTTCTCAAGCTTCAAATCTGTAATCTCAATTTGCTATGCACCTTCTTTCACAAGCTTATCTGCTCTTTCATTCCATAATATTCCACTATGTGCTTTGACTTTTACTAATAATAGCTTAATGTTCTTCAACTTGCATATGTCTTTAATCTTTGTAACTAATCTAAAGTTCTTACTTTTACTCCAAACTCTAATATTATATAGTGGCTCCTCTCTTTTCAGACTTGCAATTGCTGCTGCACTATCTAATTTAATGACTACCTTACTATTATATGCTACAACTAATATCACCATCCACACTTTGTTTTTTTTTTTGTTTTTTTTTATTATCATGTTTAATATATATATTAATTGCTTTATAAAATTTTTTAAAAATTTTATAAAGTTTGAATTTTTTAATATTTTTTTCTATAAATATTTTAGCAAATCTTTTTATTATAATCATTGTTACAATTTTTTTAAAATATTTTAATTAAACTATTAATTAAATGTTATTTAAGTTATGTCTTTATTTTATATTATTAATATTGAGTATACTTAGACTATTTTTTATTTTAATAATATTTTTCTATTTTTAGATTCAAATTTGCAAATATTTTAAATATTTTTGTATTTTTTTTTTAAGTAGTCATACTAGTATATTATTGAGTTTTTGAAATTACAATTGTAACTATATACATATTTCTAATATCTAAGTCTAGCATTACCTGGCCACCTTAACAGTACCTAAGTGCAACCTGCCACATTACTTCAAACAGAAGTAAGCTACTTGTCTGACTACTTAAAGTCCATAATGAAAGGGTCTTCTCCCTTCCATGACAAGCCCCAAAATTGTCTTCATTGCTTCTTTCTCAACTTGTTTTCCTTTTTCTCTTATTTCTTCTTTTTTTTTTTTATTTTTTTTTGGTTTGCCTTCTTTTTTCCTTCTGTTTTCTTTGTAATTTCACCTTTTTTCTTTTTACTTTTCTCTGTTATTTCAACTTTTTTCTCTCATTTAATAATTTTCTCACAGCATATTCTCTATACTTGTTCGTAAAATATGTCCTAGGCCATTATTGCTACTATGTTTGCAAACTGCTGTCTCGATCTTGTATTTAATAACTCTGCTAGTTTGTCTTGTGTTTCTTTTGAAATTAGGCCTTTCATTAGTGCTTCTCTTATTTTGACTTTCTCTGTCTCTGTTTTTCCAAAGAGCATTATATATTAAATATATAGAGGAATTCAAATCTTTTTTTTTTTTTTTAATTTTTTTCATGCTTTTGCAATAGTCACTTTTTGGATTCTCTTCTAGAGATTTCTTTGCCCTTTGCATATTACCATGTGTGCCTGCATCTCTTTTACTTTGTTTTGGCATATTTGGCATTCTACTGTCATGTATATATCTGGCCTTCTTTTGTTGAGTTCTTCTAGAGTTGGAAGTTTATCTATTATGTACTTAATAAATGCACTTTTCCTGGCACTGCTCTTTCTTGTTGTGCATCATATTTCTTTAGTTGTCTTAAGCCTTTTTCAAAAATAAGTTCAGTCATAAATTGTGATTTTTGCTTCTGGTTCTAGGTCTTTAACTGCTTTTATTTTTTTTCACTCTGCTCCTAATCTTGTATTTGTTATTAACTTGCAAAGCAGTCTTGCTGGTATGTCAGTTCATTTGTTTTTCTACTCTAGGTAGTACTCTATCTCTTTACAACTGATTTTTTTGGCCTATACTATTTTTTTACTTCTTGTTCCTTTCTTTGCTAAACTATTTGTTTTATTATTCCATTTGTCTTTACTATGACTTTTCACTTTAACTAAATCTATTTGAATGTTTTTTGTCTTGACAAGGTCTTTAATCTTCATTAACTACATTGCATTCTTTTTCTTAATAATCATGCTTCTGTCTGCTTGTTCTAGGCTTCTACTGATGTTTCTTATTGCAACATTACTATCTGTATATAGCTCTATCTGCTTCTTCTTAGATATTGTTAGAATTGCTGCCCAAATTGCTACCAACTTTGCTGTTGTTGATGTCTGTCACTCTTCTAGTCCAAAAGCTAACTCTTCTTCTGGTCATTCTTGTGTTTTATTTGTTTGGACCCATCCAATACCCATATTGTTCTTAGACAATGGCTCTTTACTATCTTTCTCATTTACTGCACCATCAATATATATTATATATTTGTTCTTGTTTCTTGCAATATTTCTTTTAAGAACTTTTGTTATTTCTTGACTAATATTTTCTTCCAGTTTTTGTCACTTGATAATTTCTACCTCTAGCTCTTCTATTATTGTAAGACCTTTTAATTTGCATTTACTTGTTTTTGGTCTATTTATTTC